GGCAGCTGGGAAAAGGCACCAGCAGCCGCTGGAACACCCCAGGGCAGCGCTAGCTGCGGGGCTGTCACACAGCCTGTGCCCTCACGTGCAAGAAACTTCTTTGCTGCTTCCAATTTTTAAAGAAAACGTTTAATTTTTCCGCTTTTACACTCACATTTTCCAACGTCTCATCTGAGACAACACTCCCGAACCTCTGAAAAAGTCGATTCTCTCCATTTTTATGAACGGGGGGGACGGAAGGACAGGAACGTGCGGCACAGACGTGACCAGGGAAGGCACCGGAGCCGGGGCACCAGGGCACCCTCCCCGCCAGGCAGCAGCCTGCGGGGGCAGAGACGCCGGGTCCCGAGCGGGTGACGGCCGCAGCAGGGCCCACCCTGCAGCCGAGCGGCGCAGCACGGCCGCTAGGAGGGGACGGGATTTTCCTTCTGCCTCTCTGCCAGCTCTGGCCTCTGCTCCTCCTGGTCTGTCTTCTTCTCCTGCATCTCTTCCAGCACGGTCTGAAGCTGCAGGTGTAGCGCGGAGTCCCTGGATTCAGCATCCCGATGATCCGGCTGTAAAGACAAAAAAAACAAACCCAGGGGCACAGAAGGTTCCTGTTGAAGGGCGACTGAGGGCAGCCACGGCAAGCAGCAGCCCCCGCCTGTACGTCCCAAAAAAAGCCGACAGAAAGGCTCCAGCTCACGCTCGGGTTATTTTTAAGGTAAAATACAGCGTTAAGGTATCGCCAGGGCAAGGAATTCAAACCGAGACTGCTGACCTCAGCTAAAAGGTGAAAGAGTCAGTGATTTCACAGGCTCGCTGGACAGCGCTTTCGGCAGAACCCATTTCCGCTCCTCCTCAGCCCCTTCCATCAGGGACAGCACGACGGGCGCTCGGCCCACAGATAAACGGGCGAGGAGGACGACGGAGAGCGTGTTACAGGAGGGAATACCGGGTGACTTGTGCTGACGGGCCCCAAACCCGCAGCTTTTACCAGCGGCTCTTCTCCCTCCTTCCTGAGGGTGCTCGACCGCCGCGCTGGCAGAACTGGCCATCAGCCACGGGCAAGGTTTCTGACCGTCACAGAGCAGCCGTGTTCCACTCCACCCGACGGGGAGCGCCTTCAGTTCGGTTTTTTACCCCCATTTATGCTGGGAGTTACACAACAACCGCCTGAAGGAACGGCTCCACGTGCCCAGGAGCTGTTTCCCCCCTCGTACATTAGAGGAACCAGCAGCAGCAGAACCTCTGGGCAGCTCTTTTGGGCCGTCATTTTCAATACCAGCAAACCACCCCCAGACCACAAACCGCTAGCTGAACGCCTTTAAAAACAAACCCACAACAACCACCACCCCCCACCACAAAACAAGCCACAACCACCCAACCAGCAGGATTTACAGCAACAACTGCAGTTCGGACCAACGCGAGGTGGGGGGCTGGGGGGGTGGTGCATCAGTCTGCTCCACTGCTGGACAGGGATGGAAAAGCGTGTTGGTTCCCTCGGCACCAGAGGTTCTGCCACCTCCCGGGGGAACACGCACCGGTGACACGCACCGGTAAGGCACACACCTATTCCCAAGCGGTTCACACACCCAGGGATGATCTGAAAGCACTGGAGACTTAAATCTTTCATCACCAGAGCAGGTGCTCCTCTCCTCCGCCCCACGAGAAGTGTCTAAACCCCGTCCAGTCACGTCCACGACTACGAGGAAAGGTCGCTCTGCACAGCAAAGCATTTTGCGACCATCCGGTGTGGGACTGTTTTGCTGAGAATTTAATTCAAAGTAATTCAACATTAAGGGCCTGGAAGTGAAGTTTTCCGAATCCACTGGCCATTTAATACTTACTTTATCTGTTCCTTTTCTCTGCAGGATTATCCCACTGGCTAAAAGGGCTTTTCCTGTCTCTTCAAACAAGTCTTCCTCTTCAATTTTTCCTTCTTCCTTCAGTTCATTGAATTTCTCCACAAACCTAGATTCCAAGATTGTATTTTTACTCTTACAAATAGCGTTTTGGTTCACTGCCTTAAGAGGAGAAAGGGACAAGTTTCAGAAACACTTCCAGTTCAATTGTAAATAAATCTTACCTCTGGCAAGTAGATTTGTAGTTTGGTTGCGACAGGTCGAAAGGTCTCGGACCACTGCCATAAATTCTGTAAAACTTCCTATTCAAAAAAATAAGAGAGTTTCATTATTCAAACCACCAAAACCGGACATGTCCCAGCGGAAATAAACAACGTCAGAGTCTGTTAGTTTAGGCTACAACAACAAGCATCCACATAACTATTTCTCCCTTTTCCATCAGCTATTACGTTACATGGAGATATCCCTTCCAGAATCTTTTACTTCTTTTAACAAACCCTAGTTCACCTTCACCACCTCGGCAGCCAGAGGAGCACTGTGACCTCCTCGCAGCGGGTTCGGGCAGCCCACCCCGGCCACCCAACACGGCTGAGGGGCACCGGCCTCTTCTGTTGCCAAGAAGCCTCTTCAGCACAGGGCAGAGGACACGGCCGAAGCACCGCGCGGCTTCTCCGCCCCATAAACGAGCAGAGAAAACGGCGCCCGAAGGACCAGCGCCCACAAGGGCCGCCCCAACCCCTCCGCAGGGCCAGCGACGAGGGGCAGAGCAGCGTCCCCGGTGAACGGCGGAGCTCAGGCACCCCCCGGCGGCCCTCCGGGGCGGGAAAGCGGTAACTCACGCTCGCACTTCGTCCTCCCGGTAGAAGATGGGCGGGATGACGTCCTTCACCTTGCCGTAGCGCGGCCGCGGCACCCGGTACACGGGCTCCCTCAGCGGGGGGAAGGCGGCGTAGACGTCGAACCACAGCGGCTTCTCGATCACCCCGATGCGGAGCAGGTTCCGGGTCCTGCCGGGGGAAGAGGAGCGGTGTGGGGGGAACCTCAGGGGACACCCGCACCGCC